AGACATTCGCCCCGCCCTTCGCCAGCCGCCGCGACTCCGTGAAGAACTTCGCTTCCGCCGCAAACGGCTCGGGGACTTCTGGGGCGTCCGCCTCCCGCTTGAACGTGGGGCACTGCGAAAAAGGGGAGACGGTCAAGATGGCAGCAAACTGCTACGGCGGGAGGGGAGGCGAGGCGAGAGGAAGGCTGTCCCCTGCAATCTCAGCAAGGGGGTTGAAAGCCTCACTTGTTCTGAGATGCAATCACAGCACTGCGGGGGCACAGGTACCAAGGCAGAGAGCCATGTCCTAAGAGCTCCTTCAGCCCCAGCATCCCAGGAGGTGGAGCGCTGTTTCCCTGCGTTCAGCTTCGCGAGCATCTGCAGGTCTTACCCCAGATACAAAAGACATGGGCCAAGAATCAAACTAACAAGATAGGAGGCTCTGAAAGGGTCTGGCTTCTGGTCTGCTTCATCCTCCCTGCAAAAACTCCTAGGAAAGTGTCTGCTGGCTTAGGAAACCAAGCTTAAGAGGGATCTTCATTAAGGGCTGAAGGGGCAGGAGAAGGACGCATCAGCTGAGCTCCCACAAATGGGCATGTTTTTTCATCTTGGACAAGTTTCAAGCTCTGGGGGCAGGACCAGGGCAGGTCCCAGCAGCAGTAAGGCCACGGGAAGGGACACCCGCATTTCTGTGGACAACCCTCAAGGATCTCTCTCATGTGCTGGCTTCCCGGGAAGAGGAAGTGCCATGAGCCCAAGACTCGGGCTGGTCTCAGGGTCTGGGAAGTGGAGGAGGAAGGCTCCTCGAGCCCCTTGCGCTTTGGCCGCAGCTTGTATTGGGGAGGAAGAGAGAGTACGGACCTGTGCATATACCAGTGCTTTCCTGCCAGTGTGCACTGACACAGCCCTTTACCACCCATCCCACAAACACTGCTGAGAGCGATCCAGGATACGGAGTCAATCCGACCCCCAGGGCAACCCTGCCTAGGGTACATCCACGCAGGTTCAGATGGGCAAAGCAAATCCTCTCTCGCGTTAGAGCAGAGGGCACTGCGAGAGCCAGCCGCGGCACAAGCCACCCCGAGCACTAGCAGCCCCTCGGCCGCCCTGCTCAGCAGCCCAAGAGCGGCTCTCACGTCACCGTCCTGCCAAGCCGGGCAAGGTCTGGCCCCCGCGCTGGCAGTCCCACCGAGACCACCTCCCAGTGGAGCAGGGACAATCCCTCACTGAGCTACAGCTGTGCAAGGAGATCCTTGAAGGGCATCCCAGAGAGCCGGGGCTGCAGCACGGAGCTGGTACCAGAGTCCCACCTTGTCCCAGGTAGCCCAAATCCGTTCCCATTCCCACCGTTACAGCCCTACACCAGGTACACACACACACACACAGCCGCAGGCTGCAACAAGCCCGTTACTGGAGGGCGAGGCCAGGGACACATACAGCAGGCAACGAGAAAGCTGTGCACCCTCCCGCCCTTCCCTGACCCACGTGGCACCGGCAGCCCGGGCAAGCAGGCAGTTTCCAGTGAAAGCCCTTCCTCGCTTGCACCAGACCCATTACTGAAAGCCAGAGGTGAAAGGAAGCACAACGAACAGAGGGTGCAGCTTGGAAGGGGGAACTCGCTGCAAAGCGGAACAGCTCAAAATGCTGGCCACAGACCCAGGGACAACAGTCAGGCCTCACCTTGATCCCCGAGAGCATGACAGTGACCAGGTAGTAGTCAGGAAGAAGGAGGGCTCTCACCACGCTGCCGTCCCGGACGTGCTCTATGATGGCTGCAGGACAGAAGCAGAGATGTTGGTTCTGGCTGTGGAGCAGGACTCAGCGTGAGCCACAGAGGCATTGCTGACCTCTTCCTCCTTCCACAAACGCTCACCGCACGGTCGTCATCACGCCATTCATGCAAAACCAGCAAAGCTGAGAACAACATCCAAGCAGCACGCAGCATCGTGCTCTGCAGCCCACCCACTGTCCACTGAAGCCAGGCACACAAGCTACAAAACTGCTGAGAAATCAAGGCAGATGCAAGCACCTCTGACCAGAAGAAAGGCTCATCAGGAAAGCCGAAGACCGTTTCTACACACACCCGTGATAAACGTTACTTCCACAGTGGTACGTACGCACTTACCATTGACCGGCTTCTGGTGCATGGAGTCCACAAAGTGGCGGGGATTTTCAATCGTGTATTTGAGATCCCGGATCGTGTGAGAGCCCGTCCCTTCACTCCACATCCCTTTCTTTGCAATCTTGGCCTGCTCCTCTAGCTCTGCCAGTCTGTTCTGCTCAGGACTGCAAAGAAAGAAGAAAACAGATCAGACAAAAACCACACAGGACTCAAGGCAGCGGAGCAGGGCACCGAAGATGAGCAGGCAGCACACTGCTAGCTCCTGCATATTTTATCATTGGGAACATCAGTCACAACTTTCAGGCGCTGTTCTGGACTCTTTACTCAGGTCTAGAGAAGGCACAGCCCGGGTGAGTTGGTGAGATGGTTTATGCCGCTAACAGCAACATAGCGTAAAGCAAACCGAGAGGTTCTCCGGTGCCTTGGCACAGACAGTACCGAGGCAGGTTACAAGCGGAGCCCAGAGGACGCGCCCAGGCCCTCGGCCGTACCTCGAGGACGCACGGACAGGGCCATCGATGTCTGAACGCCCGCCGTTGGGAGAAACACCCCTTCAATAGATAAGAGGAGGCCTAAGTTGAACGATAACCCTTCAAGAGGGCTGCTTTCGTCCACTGAGACAGAAATGCAACCACAGGGAGGTCTGCTCACTGGCTGCAGGTCCTTCAGCAAGGCAGTGGCATCCCAGCAGTCCCGGCTCCCAGAGCAGCAGAGCGTGTTTTGGGAGAGGGGGATGCGAGGCACAAGCATTTGATCCCCGTGCAATACCAGAGCGGCAGACTTCTCCCAAAGCCCTGCACAAGAGCACACTGTAGTCAGTCTCCAAAGGTAAAAAGCAGCAGCATCCATCTCTCTGTCGGAGAGGCGGCCAAATCCCTGATGAAAGACGACTCTGCCAAGCACTGTCATAATCCATTAAAGAAATTGTGATATTTTTGTTTTAGCATTCTTCAGCTCAGCTCAGGGCAAAGCTGCAACCTGATGAATCCCGAGTTCATTACACAGGCCAAGACGCTCTGCTGACCTGCGGTCACCTGGCGGACATGCCTGGCTTTAAACACCCGCTTGACGTGCTGACAGCGGAAAACGGCCTTGCAGGAGCCCAGCGCAGCAGGTCTCGCTGCGCCCATCTCAGCCCGTCCAGGGCCTGCCCAGCTCCTCCAAGCCCATCAACTGCAAGCTCAGGCTTCAGCCTCTTACCTTGCTCTGCCTGTGCCTGACCCAAACTGCTGACCACGACGGTGCTGCACGTCTCCTCGCCCGTCCCTCGCACCCTTTGAGCTAAGGGAGCGCGCTCCAAGCAGGGGCACGCTCCTGGCGATCCTGAAGCGTAGGAAGCAGCACGATCTCTCCATCCTACGCTAACTGCATTGCACCAACCCCAGCCACGCTCACTCGGAGAGGTAGCGTAGGTACCTTGCTCCTGCCCCCAGGAGCTCCTGTCACCCCGCTCCTGTCATCCCAGGCATCGTGGTGGCAGGCTTCCCCGGGGCGTGCTGCCAGCTCAGCGCACCCCAGGCCTTACAGCAGCGCAGCAGGCATCTGAGGAGACCTGAAGGGGTAAATCCCAACCGGCGAAAGCCACCAAGATGCAGGGCCCACCTGCGCTTCCCCAGGTCCCTTCCTCAGCACGTACCACCACCACGAGCAGCGGGCGGTTGCAGCCCAACCCGCACCGCAGCTTCCTCTGCATTTCACTTCCCCTTCAGCAAACAGGCTAGTCCAGAAGTGCCTGAGAAATCCTAGGCAGGGAATTTATAGACAACCTTCATCTTTTACACAGGAGGAGGCCTCTCACGCTGAAGTTAGAGGCTCTCCAACCTGCAAGCACAGGGCTGCTCTGCATTCATTAGCTGATTTTTCCATGCAACTGTCCTTCAACAAGATGAGCCATCGAGCAGAGGCAGAGCCACTGGTCGAGCAGGTGTCGCCTGTGCTGTCTGGAGTAGTGCCAGGGTGACTGGTCAACACAGCCGATATCTGTTTCAGCGGGGAAGGCTGGCTGGAAAGCAGGGACAAGGCAGAGCATCATGCAATCACCTTCTCAATTCCTCCACAGCCCTCCTCAAGGTGGGCTAAGAGCATGTTTCATCACCGGGGGTTCAAGTGAAGCATTTGTTCCAGGACCCTGTTTCGACGGATGGCCAAACCTCTCAGCCTCCGCGGAGCACCCTAACTGCAAGCTGCCTCCACCCATGTTAGTGAGACCACCAGATCCTGGAGCTCCCGCAGGCAGGTGTCTGCTCAGTAAGAAATGCAAGCGCACAAGTTACGTGCATCCTTCTTCTTACGGAGGGGGTTTTACATCACGTTTCATGACGCCAGCAAAGCCGCAGAATTGCTGGTAACAAAGAGAGCTAATCCCCACCGGGGTGAGAGGAGCGCAGTCTGCAGTTCAGGGGATTTAGGCACCTACACCCAACCCTGCAATGCAGGGCTGACCCCTCACTACTTTCAAACTATTTGAACTATTTGCTTTTCAAGGCCTTGGCCTGCCTGAATCCAAACTGAACACTCGACCTACCGCGTGCGGTGTTTGCAGGGCATCTCACCGGTTCTTTATAGGGCTGTTTGTCAAAAATACAAAGACTAAAGAACACAATCCTGCAAGCAAGCAAACTTTACTCTCACAAACGCTCCCTAGTGATCAAGCGTACCATACAGAGCTAAGAACTACACCTCACAGAATAAAAACCTTTAGAAGTAAAACAGTAGCAACATTAAAGGTTTATACTTGAATTTATGCTGTGCAGAGGGACCAAGTCAGAGCCAAGGTCTGTGCTGTGTATAATTGAGGTTTCTAGGCACCGGCGGCGAGCACAACCCCGGTTATTTCTGCTGGCAGTCCCCAGGCGGTGGAAGCACAGCTTCGGACAAGCATCAGAAGTGCACGGCCACAAGCTGCGAGCAAGCGACCCTGCAGCAGTGGCAGCACACACAGTCCAGGCTGCTTGTTAGCCAGCTCCGCTTGAGCTCACGCTCTCCCCCTTCCGTCAAAGCCTCAGCAGGGTCCTGGATGGCTCTGTCAGGAGTGGAGGCTTTTCAGCAGGAAGCAGAATAAAGTCAATGCAAAAAAACTACCCGATTTCCAACCCAGAGCTCTCCTCCGTTAACACCTGCCTTTGGAACTCGAGACTGATCCACGAGGTGGAGAACTAGAACAGAAGCAAGGCCTGACTTCAGCTGAACTTCTTTGGTTCTACAAGTGCAATATTTCCTTGCTAGCCTCTCTCATCTTTGCAGTGCCTGCTCCACTGTCAGGGCTCCCGGCGCTCCTGCTCCCTGATACCCTGCGCAGCCTGGGGAGCTGCTCGCCAGCTCCGACTCCCGTCCTCTCCGACTGTCCACTCCCGTTTCCTGCTCTAGAGGCCACGCTTTCCCAGGCTCTTCAGAGCCCCGTTTTCTCCAAAGCTTCACCGTGGGGAGAGAAAGGCGCTGGTGCAGAAAGCCAGCGTTGGAGGGTCCCTACCATCAGCGCAGCCAACGAGGCCCAGGCAGGAAAGCCTCGCGGGACCGCGCAGGCAGACCAGAAGAACGGCTGCAGCTTCCCAAATGAACCCGAACGGGTGTCTCAAGGGGCAGCTCAGCACAAGAACAGAGGCTGCTTCCCCAAACGGACAGCAAGCAGGAACTGCTCGGCACCCGGAGCTTCTGCACTGGCAAGCCTGGGAATAAAATAACCCATCCACACCCTTGGCAACGCATGCTCTGTTTACTCAACGTACCTGTTTGCAGACTGTACTACCGAAAACATTGGATGGAAAGCATCCAAGTGTGCCAGAAATGGTTTTAGGAAGCGACACAGGCAAGCTTCCAGCCCAGCAGACGTAGGGATGGAAATAGCATCTGACTGGTATTTATAGAGCTGCCACAAAAACAATTCACACCCCTGTAACAAAATAGCCCAAGCCTTAGGCCGTGCCCAGGAGACGCCAGCACACCACAGCATAGGCCAGGTTTCTCCTCCCAGCTCCAGTCACTGAAGCCTTCGGGGTTATTGATTCCCAACGGGGACAGGACACAACAGCAGCATCAGCTCCAAGGCTTGGCCCTGCACATCTAGCACGGGTATCTACAGGAACCGCACCGCCTGACTGTGGGACACAGGGTACAAACACCACCTGCCTAGCGTGAATTAAAATGCCTCAGCTCAATGCTTGGCTCATCTTCCAGTGATCAAAAGCTTCAGGAGATCTTCTGTCTGCAGGCAAGGGCCACAGCTCTAGCGTTTCAGTGTCCTGGGAAAAGAGGAGCACGGCTCACTGTCTGCAACCCCTCATCGCTGCCCAGCCCTAAAGAGAGGGAGTCGCTGTGTCAGGATGCTGGTGCTTTGCAGAACTAAAGCCTCACAGGAAGCCCAGAAGCAGACCAGAAGGGACCAGTCCCTGACAAAAGCCGAGGAACCCAATAGCTCTCCTTCTTGGTGCACGTACGTAATCGCTAGAGAGCTACATGATGCCAAAACACCCAAAACGCAGGGGAAGTTCAGAAACACAACAGTGTACGTACTTATTGGCTCGGATTCCTTCCCTGCGGGAGGCCAGTCCTTCTGCCACGAGAGACTCAGCGATGTTCTCGCCGCTTGTGTCTGGAGAGAGGAGAGAAGAATCAATGAAATGAGCTTCCAGAAAGCATATGGTGCGCGCGGCTCCTAAAGCAAGAGGCACCAGGCAAACAGGAGGCTCAGAACAAACAGACCTCGTCCCCGAAAAGAGCTCCTGCGCGAGACCGTTTCAAGAAATGGCAAAAAGCAAACAGGAGGGCGAAGCCACACAACAGTTTATAAACAAGCTCTTGGCTCCTTTCAGCGCGACAAATGAGCTTCCAGAAAGCATATGGTGCGCGCGGCTCCTAAAGCAAGAGGCACCAGGCAAACAGGAGGCTCAGAACAAACAGACCTCGTCCCCGAAAAGAGCTCCTGCGCGAGACCGTTTCAAGAAATGGCAAAAAGCAAACAGGAGGGCGAAGCCACACAACAGTTTATAAACAAGCTCTTGGCTCCTTTCAGCGCGACTTGCTACGGAAAGAGTTTGGGAACCCCGCCGCTTA